TCCCGCAAGTACTCTGGACCGGGCTTGATTGCTCGGCGTACTCGCTGGATGGTGGGGGGTGGTAGAACTCTGCCCCCACCAGGCGCCCGAGGCCCGAACCTTCGGGCGCCGTACGCTTACGTACGATACATGAATGGCGGTATCTAATCTACGGGCGCCTAGATGCGCTAGTTCTCCGCGATTCCCGGAGAACACCTTCTCCTACTGAAGTGGACGTTCCCGTCCAGGCACTAGGGAGTGCCGGTAGTAAGTAAGAACCGTCGGGTTCTTACACTCTCCCTCCCTAGACCCGTGCCGGGTCTCCAAATAATAATACAATGGAGTAAGGGTCACAACTTGGAGTGACGGTGGCACAGTATTTACATGGGTTCCATGTGCTGCACACACATGGGCCCTATAGTACAAGGGTGCGGCGTTGAAGCCGCTATGATACATCATAGCCCCGTTGGTTTCGACGCGCTACGAGGACGCGTCTGCGTCCATTCACCCAGAATGCTCGTTCACGACGGGGGTGATCCGTCCGAATGGTGACGTGCTCGTATTTCTGCGGCGGGTAGGGGGACGTGGTAGCGTCCAGCACCAGTATATACACCATGACGGTGGTGCGACGTCTGGGTGGGTTTAAGTACCTAGAGGTACGGAGAGGGGACCACGAGGGTCCGTTCACTGCTCCTCCTCGGTCGACTTCTCCGCCTCCTCCGCGTTCGGAGTCCCCCGCGCTTCACCTCCCTCTTGTCGCGCCTCCGTGCCGTCGACGTTGTCGGCGGAGGCGGGAGGCGGCGAGGCCTGATCCGGCGGTGGTAGGGTGTCCACGTCCATCTGGACGTGTGGGGTAGTAGGCGCGACGGCGGGGACGGGCGCGGGGTGTTGCGGAGTGGTGGGGTTTGCAGGCGCGAACGCTAGCGTCGGGTTGGCAGCGAGGCCCCGCAGCGTTAGAGCCGCGACTGGGGGCACGGGCCCTGCTCCCGCAATGGAGACAATGCCCGCGAACGGCAGGACGGCGGAGTTATGGTCCATGCCCTCCAGCTGCGCCCTGGCACGATGCGCGGATCGCTGCATCCGATCGGCGAGGGCGAGGGTGATGCCTTGCACTGCGTACCAGTGCGCGACGTGGAAGACCGTGAGGTCGTCGACGCCCAACGAGCCGGGATAGTACGCGTGGGCGTACGGACCAGTGGGGTCCAGTTGCCACTGGGCCAGGATGTGCCGGTATAGGCCGGGCACCGAAAAGAGGGTGAGGGTCAGAGCGACCCACCGCGCGCGCTCTTGGTTCGTGCGGTCTCGCGCGATCGGGTGCCGCGAGTATACAAACAGCTGGGCGGCTTCCAGCGTTGGACCTCCATCCTGGTCCCGTTCCATCCACGGCGGGATGCGGTCTTGGTACGACCTCCACCAATCACGGTGACGCTCGGGCGGGTCACACGTTCTCGGCTGAGCACGGCGTGGACCATTAAGGTCCTGGAGCGGGCGCGTGGCCTTGTGGAGCGGCTGCGAGGGCAACATGCCCGGGCGTCGCCCCAGAGGTGGCGGCAGGTGCGAGGTGTCCGCGAACTCCATGCCCGGCGGCGTATAGGCCGCGGGGTGCATGATGGTGGGGAGATACGGC